GAAAGCTGAGGCTTTTGTTTTAGCACTGCCATGTTCCCAGCATGTGGCACACAGCAGATCTTTGCTAAGTGCTTATTAGATGAAGAGAGTACTCACAAAAAGACAGTCCCACCTTCTCATGGGAAGGCAGGCTGCCAGCCCAACCTTGGCTATGGATGTTCTAGCAGGGTAGGGTTTCCCACTGAGCTTCCCACACCCTGTCCCCTTCCCCAAGGCCTCTTATCCACTTCTACCATGCTGTCAGCAAACTCAGATCCCGTACTTTGTGTATGCATCACATTTCACAGGTCTGCCCTGGCTCAATCCGTTGTTGGTCACAGTTTGACCCACGGCATGGGGAAATGAATGCCTGGTCAGGTCAGGGACTCTTGGTTGTGTGATCCTAGGGAAGCCCCTCCCTGCTCTGGGCTTCACTCTGTTCAGGGGAGACAGGCTGTGTGGACCTTGGAGATTAGATGTGTGGTACCCCCAGAAAGACACACACACACACACACACACACACACAGTTCCATGGAAGGCATATTGCCCATTCCCGCTGCCTGGGCAATCAGAGCGGTCCGTGCCCCTGGCTATGATGAGAGGTTCAAGGATGGACATGTGACCCATGCCTGGCCAGCCAGGCTCAGACCTGAGACCCTGTTAAGTGGGAGGAGCAGAGCCTGCCTGATAGTGAAGCCAGCGCAAAGGGCAGATGTGGAGGGAGAAGGCTACCAGGCAGCATCAGTGGAGCCCCTGGATTCTGGGCCAACACTAACACTGGCATCATTCCCAGGGCAGGAAGGGCAAGGTGGAGTGTCCCCAAGTCTAGATGTTCACCAGGAAAGGAAAATGCCAGGCATATGGACATATGGGCCTCAATGTGGGGGAACTTCCAGGGGGCCTGCGAATCTTGGTTCTCAGAGCCCTCATGCTGGAGTCAAAGGTTGACCTGGGTGAAGGAGGCAGAAATCAGAGAGCATGAGCCTGGCTTTTTTGGGGGGGGTTGGGTGCGGGGGGTTCCTTTTATACATTTTTTTTTAATTACGGTAAAATTCACAAAACAAAAAGTTAACCATTTTAAAATGAATAATTTAGGGCCAGGCATGGTGGCTTACGCCTGTAATCCTAACACTTCGGGAGGCCAAGGTGGAAGGATCACTTTGAGCCCAGGAGCTAGAGACCAGCCTGGGCAATACAGTGAGATCCCATCTCTCAAAATTTTTTTTTTTTTTTTTTTTTTGAGCCGGAGTCTCGCTCTGTCGTCCAGGCTGGAGTGCGGTGGCACAATCTCGGCTCACTGCAAGCTCCGCCTCCCTGGTTCACGCCATTCTCCTGCCTCAGCCTCCTGTGTAGCTGGGACTACAGGTGCCCGCCACCACACCCGGCTAATTTTTTGTACTTTTAGTAGAGACGGGGTTTCACCGTGTTAGCCAGGATGGTCTGGATCTCCTGACCTCGCGATCTGCCTGACTCGGCTTCCCAAAGTGCTGGGATTACAGGCGTGAGCCACCATGCTCGGCCCTAAATTTTTTTTTTAATTAGAGTCTCATTGAATATGACCACTGCTTTTAGGGTTCATGTGTCTCTCTTCACAATCCGAGCCAGGCCTGCATGCCAGCAACCATTTTCTAAGGGACCTTCATTTAGTGTTGATCTTGCCACCACCAACTCTTGTGTGCATATTGTCCAGCACAAAAAGGTAAAGTTAATTGTCAATGATTGAGGAAACCAAACCACTCCAAGCTATGCCACCTTTGTGGCTACTGAACGATTGATTGGCGATGCCATAAAGAGTCAAGTTGCAATGAACCCCAACAACACAGTTTTTGATGGCCAATGTCTTATTGGATGTGGATTTGATCATGCTGTTGTCTGGTCTGATTTGAAGCACTGGCCCTTCATGGTGGTGAGTGATGCTGGCAGGCCCAAGGTCCAAGGAGAGAACAAGGGAAAAACAAAAAGCTTCAGGCCAGGTGTGGTGGCTCACGCCTGTTAACCCAGCACTTTGACAGGCTGAGGTGGGTGGATTGCTTGAGCCCAGGAGTTCGAGACCAGCCTGGGCAACATGGTGAAACCCTGTCTGTACTAAACATACAAAAATTAGCCAGGTGTGGTAGCATGCACCTCTAGTCCCAGCTACTTAGGAGGCTGAGGAGGGAGGATCACTTGAACCCGGGAGGTCAAAGCTGCAGTGAGTCATGATCACACTACTGCACTCCAACCTGGGCAACAGAACGAGACCCTGTCTCAAAACAAAAAACTTCTATCCAGAGGTGTCCCCTATGGTTGTGACAAAGATGAAGGAAATTGCAGAAGCCTACCTTGGGAAGACTGTTACCAATGCTGTGCTCACAGGGCCAGCCTACTTTAATGACTCAGCATCAGGCTACCAAAAAGATGCTAGAACTATTGCTGGTCTCAATGGACCTAGAATTATCAACAAGCCAACTGCTGCTGCTATTGCTTATGGCTTAAACCAAAAGGTTGGAGCTGAAAGAAATGTGCTGGTCTTTGACCTGGGAGGTAGCACTTTATTTTATTTTATTTATTATTTTATTTTATTTATTTTGTCTTATTCTTATTTTATTTTTTGAGACAGAGTCTCATTCTGTCACACAGGCTGGAGTGCAGTGGCACGATCTTGGCTCACTGCAACATTGCTCTCCTGAGCTCAAGTGATCCTCCCACCTCAGCCTCCCAAATAGCTGGGACTACAGGTGTTTGCCACCATGCCCAGCTAATTTGTTAATTTTTTGTAGAGATGAGGTCTCACTATGTTGCCCAGGCTGGTCTCAACCTCCTGGGATCAAGAGAGCCTCCCACTTTTGCCTCCTGAGTAGCAGGACTATAGGCATGCAGGAGGTGGCACTTTTGACGTGTCAGTCCTCACTATTGAGGATGAAATTTTTGAGGTCAAATCTACAGCTGGAGAAGGTGGAGAAGACTTTGCAACCAAATGGACAGCTGTTGCACTGCTGAGCTCACGTGCAAGCATAAGAAGGACCTCAGTGAGAACAGGAGAGCTGGCTGGGCATGGTGGCTTTTGCCTGTAATCTCAGTACTTTGGGAGGCCAAAGCAGATGGATCACTTGAGGTCAGAAGTTCGAAACTAGTCTGGCCAACATGGTGAAACCCCGTCTCTACTAAAAATACAAAAGTTCAAAAGTTAGCCAGGTGTGGCTGGACGCGGGGGCTTACGCCTATAATCCCAGCACTTAGGGAGGCCGAGGCGGGTGGATCACAAGGTCAGGAGATCGAGACAATCCTGGCTAACATGATGAAACCCTGACTCTACTAAAAATACAAAAAATTAGCCGGGCATGGTGGTGGGTGCCTGTAGTCCCAGCTACTCAGGAAGCTGAGGCAGAAGATATTGCTTGAACCTGGGAGGCGGAGGTTGCAGTGAGCCAAGATTGCGCCACTGCACTCCAGCCTGGACGACAGAGCGAGACTCTGTCTCAAAAAAAAAAAAAAAAAAAAAAAAATTAGCTGGGTGTGGTGGCAGGCACCTGAAATCACAGCTACTTGGGAGGCTGAAGTAAGAGAATCACTTGAACCCAGGAGGCAGAGGTTGCAGTGAGCGCATCATTGCACTCCAACATGGGTGACAGGAGCAAGACTCCGTCTCAAAAAAAAAAATTGTAAAAGAATTAGCCAGGCGTAGCGATGGGTGCCCGTAATCCCAGCTATTAAGGAGGCTGAGGCATGAAAATTGCTTGAACCTGGGAGGCAGAGATTGCAGTGAGCAGAGATCAGGCCACTGCACTCCAGCCTGGGTGACAGAGGGAGACTCCGTCTCAAAAAGAAAAAAGAAAAGAGCTGCCCCCACGCCTTCATGCAGCTTGTGAATGTGCAAAGCGTCCTCTCTCTTCCAGCACCCAGGCCAGAATTGAGATTGATTCTCTCTAGGCAGGAATCGACATCTATACCTCCATTACCATGCCCAATTCGAAGAATTGAATGTTGACCTGTTCCATGCCCGATTCGAAGAATTGAATGCTGACCTGTTCCATGGCATCCTGGACCCGTAGAAGAAGCCCTTCGAGATGCTAAACCAGACAAGTCACAGATTCATGACATCACCCTGGTTGCTGGTTCAGCATCTAACTGCAAGATTCAGAACTCGCCCAAGACTTCTTCAATAGAAAAGAACTGAAGGCTGGGCATGGTGGCTCATGCCTGTAATCCCAACAGTTTGGGAGACTGAGCCGGGAGGATCACTTGAGCCCAGGAGGTTGACACTGCAGTGGGCCATGACTGTGCCACTACACTCCAGTGTGGGCAACAGTACGAGACCCTGTCTCAAAAAAACAAACCAAACTGCATAGGAGCATTGACCCTGATGAAGCTGTTGCTTACGATCCATCTACCCAGGCAGCCATCTGATCTGGAGACAAACCAGAAAACATTCAAGACTCATTGCTCCTGGATGTCACTCCTCTTTCCCTTTCATTGAAACTGCTGGCTGAGTCACGACAGTCCTTGTTAAGCATAGTACTTCCTACCAAGCAGACACAGACCTTCACTACCTGGCATGGTGGTGGGCGCCTGGCAGCCAGACTGTCGTGCTTACTCAGTTTATGAAGGCGAGCGTGCCATGAGCAAGGATAACAGCCTGCTTGGCAAGTTTGAACTCACGGGCATACCTCCTGTGACAGTGTTCCTCACACTGAAGTCACTTGACACTGATGTCAGAGACATCCTCAGTGTCTGTGCTCTGGACAAAAGTACAGGAAACTGGGTGTGGTGGCTCACACCTGTAATCCTAGCATGTTGGGAGGCCGAGGCAAGTGGATTACTTGGGCCCAGGAGTTCGAGACCATCCTGAGCAACAATGGTGAAACCCCATCTCTAAAAAAAAATACAAAAAAATTAGCCAGGTATGATAGGGTGCACCTGTAGTCTCAGCTACTTGGGGATGCTGAGGCAGAAGGATCACTTGAGCCCAGGAAGTCGAAGCTGCAATGAGCCGAGTTTGCACCACTACACTCTAGCCTGGGCAACAGAGCAATGTCTCAAAAAAATAAAAAATAGTACAGGAAAAAAGAACAAGATTACTATCACTAATGAATGACTGTTTGACCTAATGAAGGGTCGTTTGAGCAAGGAGGACGTTGAGCATATGGTCCAGGAAGATGAGCAGTACAAAGCTAAAGATGAGAAGCAGAGGGTCAAGAATTCACTTGAATCCAATGCATTCAACAGGAAAGCCACCGTTGAAGATGAGAAAATTCAAGGCAAGATTAATGGTGAGGACAAACAGAAGATTCTTGACAACTGTAATGAAATTATCAACTGGCTCCATAAGAATCAGATGGCAGAGAAGGAAGAAATTGAACATCAGCAGAAAGAGCTGGAGAAAGACTGCAACCCCATCATTACCAAGCTGGATCCAAGTGCTGGAGGACCGCCAGGAGGCTCACCTGGGGGAGTCCCTGGTAATGGAGCTCCTCCCTCTAGTGGTACTTCCTCAGGGACAACCATTTAAGAGGTTGATTAAGCCAACCCCAATATAAAGATCACATGATTCCACATAGCTAAAACACTGAAGAACCCAAATTTGTAACAAATTCTGTGGCAGTTTTAATGCTGAGCTGCTAGGGGCCGGGCGTAGTAGCTCACGGCTGTAATCCCAGCACTTTGGGAGGTTGAGACAGGTGAATCACTTGAGGTCAGGAGTTCGAGATTAGCCTGGCCAACATGGTAAAACCCTGTCTCTACTAAAAATACAAAAATTAGCTGGGCATGGTGGTGCACACCTGTAATCCCGGCTACTCAGGAGGCTGAGGCAGAAGAATCGCCTGAACCCGGGAGGTGGAGGTTGCAGTGAGCAGAGATCGCGCCACTGCACTCCAGCGTAGGTGACAGAGCGGGACTCCATCTCAATAAATAAATAAATAAATAAATAAATAAATAAATAAATAAAGTCGAGCTGCTAAATTACTGGACATTCTCAATACTTATATGGAACATGTGCACAGGGGAAGGAAGTAACATTGTAGTTTATAAGCACTGTATTGTAAGTGGAAAATGCAATGTCTTAAATGAAACTATTTAAAATTGGCACCCCCCAAAAAAACAGCTGGTCTGGGTGGCAGGCACCTGTATTTCAAGCTACTCAGGAGGCTGAGGTGGAAGGATTGCTTGAGTCCAGGAGGTGGAGGCTGTAGTGAGCCATGATTGTTCCACTGCACTCCAGCCTGGGTGATGGAGCGAGACCCCATCTTGAAATAAATACATAAATAAATAAAGTGAACAATTCAGCAGCATTTAGTACATTCACAACATTATGAAGCTACCACCTCTATCAAGTTCCAAAACTTATTTTTCACCTTTACTTTGATAATTGAAAGGACTGATCATTCCAAAACATTTTTATCACCCCAAAAGGAAAAACCCTGAATCCGTTAAGCAGTCACTCCCCATTGCCCCTCCCCCAGCCCCTGGCAGCCAGCCATCTGCTCTCCATCTCTATGGGTTTCCCTATTCCGGACATTTCATATGAATGGAATCAACACTACATGTTTCTGTGTAACTGGCTTTGTCTCTTAGCATCGTGGTTTCGAGGCTCATCCCATTGTGGCGTGTATCATTCCTTCATTTTTTTCTATGGCTGAATCATGTTCCCTTGTATAGATACCCTACTTTTTTTTTTTTTTTTTTTTTGAGACAAGGTCTCGTTTTGTTCCCCAGGTTGGAGTGCAGTGGCACAATCATGGCACACTGCAGCCTCAACCTCCTGGACTCAAGCAATCCTCCCACCTCAGCTTCCTGAGTAGCTGGGACTACAGCTGCATGCCACCACTCCAGGCAACTTTTTTGTTTGTATTTTTTGTAGAGACAGGGTCTCACTATGTTGCCCAGGCTGGTCTCGAACTGAACTACTGACCTCAAGTGATCCACCCACCTTGGCCTCTCAAAGTGCTGGAAATACAGGTGTGAGCCACTGCAACTGGCCAGATATGCCACCTTTGATTTATCCATCCATCCATCCGCTGACGACCGTCAGGTGTCTCTGTTTGGGCTACTGTGAACACCCAGGCATCTTTGTGGCTGGGAACAGGAGAGGTGTGGAGAGAAGACAGTGAGTTAGAAGAACTAGAAAGGGGAATTTGGGAACTAGAACTGGGCTGTGGCCACCGAGATCAAGTCCTGATTTTACCTCCAAACCATGTCTTGAATCCATCACTTCTCCATCTCTGCCACCACTTCCCCATCCCAGGCCACTGCTATCTCTCCCCAAGTCGACTACTGCAGCCTCCCCTCCAGCCTCCCTTCTGCCACTCCCAACTCCCTCATCTCCGGGGTTCATTCTCCACTGAGCAGCCGAGGGATCCTCTTAGAACTTTCATGAAATCAAGTCATGGCACCCTCTTGCTCAAAGCCTTTCCATGGCTCCCCATGGCCTTGGGAGCAAGTCCAGACTTTGCCCCATGGGTGACAAGGCCCTCCATAGCCTGGCTGCTGGCTACCCCTCCAGCCTCTTCACACATGGTTTACTCTCCTCACACTCCGCTGCAGCCGCCAGACCTCCCTTTCTTCCCAGAGTGCACCATGCTCCAGTCCCTTGCACGTGCTGGTTCCCTTCCCAGGAGGCTTCTTCCTTCACCCAGTTACCCCTCATCCTTTAAGCTTTCACTCAGCCATTGCCTCTTTCAGGAAGGTCTGTGACCCCAACACTTCCCCTCCCACTAAGTCAGAGGCCTTAGCTTCTTCCCATTAGCCATTCTCTCAACCAGTATTTACTGGGCACTGCTTTGCCCCAGGCACCAGGGATACAAGTTAAAAAGACAGGCAATGGCCAGGCACAGTGGCTCACACCTATAATCCCAGCACTTTGGGAGGCCGAGGCAGGCGGATCATTTGAGGTCAGGAGTTTGAGACCAGCCTGGCCAACATGGCGAAACCCCATCTCTACTAAAAATACAAAGTTAGCCGGGCATGGCGGTGCTTGCCTGTAATTCTAGGGTTCTCAGGAGGCTGAGGGGGGAGAACCACTTGAACCCAGGAGTTAGTTGCAGGGAGCTGAGATCACGACACTCCACACCAGCCTAGGTGACAGAATGAGACTCTGTATCAAAAAAATTAATCAATTAATTAAATGGTTAGTTTTGCAGGGCACGGTGGCTCACACCTGTAAATTCAGCTTTTTTCTTTTTTTTTTTTTTTTGGAGTGCCACTATTCAGAGCTGAGGCACGAGGATCACTTGAGCCTGGGAGGTCGAGGCTACAGTAAGCCATGATCCTGCCACTACCACACTCTAGCCTAGGTGACACAGCAAGACTCTGTCTCTAAATAAATGAATGAATGAATAAATAAATAAAATGGTTAGTTTTGCTGGGCACAGTGGCTCACACCTGTAGTCCCAGCCTCTTGGGAGGCTGAGGCAGAAGAATCACTTGAGCCCAAGAGTTCAAGACCATCCTGGGTAACATAGCAAGATTCCATCTCTATGTAAAAAAAAAAAAAAAAAAAAAAAAAAGGCCAGGCGCGGTGGCTCATGCCTGTAATCCTAGCATTTTGGGAGGCCAAGGTGGGTAGATCACGAGGTCAGGAGATCGAGACCATCCTGGCTAACATGGTGAAATCGCATCTCTACCAAAAATATGAAAATTAGCCAGGTGTGGTGGTGGGTGCCTGTAGTCCCAGCTACTCAGGAGACTGAGGCAGGAGAATGGCGTGAACCAGGGAGGCGGAGCTTGCAGTGAGAAGTTAAGAGCCCAGGAGAAAAATAAGCAGGGCAAGACGATATGAATTGTTCATGAGGATGGGTTTCGGGGGTTGCCATTTTACTAGGAGGGGACCAAGGAAGGCCTCCTTGAGAAGGCAGCCTTTGAGCAAAGACCTGAAGGAAATAAGGGCACAAACCATGCAGATAGCCAGGGAAGAGCATTGTTGGCAGAGGGAACAGCACGTGCAGAGGTCTGTAGGCAGGAAGCACAACCGGGAGGCCATGTGGCTGCAGCAGAGAGGAGGGGAGAGGAGAGATGACATCAGGGAGGCCTGTGGGCTTTTCTCAGGAGATTGGGAAGATGAGGTGGAACCCACAAAGGAGATGAGAAGACATAGCCAGTGACATAGGAGAAAAACCAGGAGAAGCCAATTGCAGGTCACATGTCCGGGCTTGATAACTGTGGATGTACCCTTGGTGGACCTCTCCCCACATTGGAGGGCAGGTCCAGGAGGGCAGGGGGTTTGGTCTGCCTTGTTCACTGCTGTGCCTCAGCACCTGGCAGTGCCCAGGACATAGCAGGTGCTCAATGACCAGGACATGAGTCAGTGGCTGAGCTGGTGTCCCCTGTCCCCGCTGTGTGGCAACCAGATCTCAGTCTTCCGAACCTTTCCAGTGATGCTCCTCTTCACCTAGCCACCAGCAGGGGCAGATGGTGGTCCAGATGGGATCTGAGGCAGAGCTTCCTTCCACCGTGGCCACCCCACCCAAGAAGTGGGCTGAGCCAGTCACTCGCAAGAGGGAACTGAAATTATCCTCCACCACAACACACAGTCCTGGCACCACACTGGGTAGGACATGGAGGAAGAGGGAGCGATAGCGAGGGCCAGAGTCCCTCCACTTCAAGGGTCCCCTTCCCCTGGTATATACGTGGGGGAAAGGAGGCACCAGCCAAGGGTTGGGTAGCTGTGTGTGAGTGAAGTTTGCTGAAGTCCCGAAGTCCTGAAAGGTCCTGCTGGCTCATCCCCTGCCTCGGGTGCAGGCTGTTTCTTTGTTTGTTTGTTAATTTTTTTTTTTTTTTTTTTTTTTTGAGACAGAGTCTCTGTCGTCAAGCTGGAGTGCTGTGGCACGATCTCGGCTCACTGCAACCTCTTCCTCTCCGGTTCAAGCAATTCTCCCAAGTAGCTGGGATTACAGGCGGGCATCACATTGCCCACCTAATTTTTTTGGTATTTTTAGTAGAGACAGAGTTTTGCCATATTGCCCAGGTTGGTCTCGAACTCCTGAGCTCAGGCAATCTGCCCACCTCGGCCTCCCAAAGTGCTGGGATTACAGGCGTGAGCCACCACACCTGGCAAGTGCAGCATTTATGAGTCCTGCTTTAAAAGGTGGCACGTGGGACATGGTGGCTCACACCCGTAATCCCAGCACTTTGGGAGGCTGAGGTGGGAGGAATGCTTCAGGCCAGGAATTCAAGACTAGTCTGGGCAATATAGCAAGACTCCCTCTCTACAAAAATAATTAAAAATTAGCTGGCCGTGGTGTCATTCACCTGTACTGGGGGACTGAGGCAGGAGGACCACTCAAGCCTGGAAGGTCAAGGCTGCAGTGAGCGATCATGCCACTGCATTCCAGGCTGGGCGACAGAGCGAGACCCTGTCTCAAAAAAAAAAAAAAAAAAAAAAAAAGCTGGCATCGCCAACCTCTCTCTTCATGCTTTCATCCCTCCTTTAAGGGGGCCTCTCATTTTCCCCCCAGACCCCTGCCACAGACCCCCAAATTCCTGGACATTTTCTCCCACGGGGCAATTTCTTTCTTTTTTTTTTTTTTTTTGAGATGGAGTCTTGCTCATTGCCTAGGCTGGAGTGCAGTGGCCCAATCTCGGCTCATTGCAAGCTCTGCCTCCCGGGTTCACGCCATTCTCCTGTCTCAGCCTCCTGAGTA